TTTAGAAATTTGTAAATCCAAGTATAAAATCTCAGCTGATTAGAAAAAAAAAGAAATCGGTCTAGCCCAGGGTCCGAGAAGTGAGTTGCCAGTTATCATTTTTTTCCTGAAATTGAAGTACTATTAATAGGGAAGTGGTGGAGGCATAAGAGAGACTGTAAAGGTATGGTCAGACTACCCATAGATTCGTGAAATCCAGCGATTTTTAATCGAATTTGCCCATCGATGGACTCAATCCACTAGACTTTCGCCCACACGTTCGATGCGATGGATACCCACTCATCCATCGACTGACGAATGGAAAATTGTACCTTATGCAAATATTTTCATCTCAAAGCACTAATATTATATATTTTCAGTTATTCATAATTATTCGTATTTAGTTTTACATCAATATTTACATGTAAATTAAAGCTAAAGTACAAATAAAAAGTAAAAACAAAACATTGACCATGGATTCATGGATTCTCATGACTGACGAATGTAAACAAACGCATAACCGCTAACTTCAAGTTGAAATCGCAGATCCCGTAAATATTCAATATGTGGAATTCTGAAGCAATTTATTCTTAGAAAAGATCAGAACGAAAACACGGAAAAATAATAAAAGTTAGGGAGAAGATTGCGATATCCATAGCGAGTTTCTGCGATTTGTTTTGATGCCGCGATTCCACTGGACAAAGCCGATGGTTCTTTTCGCTGTGTGAACACCACGGACGGATGGGTTGGTTCCAGCCCACAGAAAATCGCTGGATTCCACTGAAATTTATGACTAGTCTGACAGTACCTTTATAGGATGATAGGATCGTAGAGATAGAGGAAGAATCCAAGGGTCTCAGGAGAAATCGTAGTTATAAGAGTAAGAGGCATTGGGAGAGTCAAAGGAGAGAGAAACCAGAAGTGAGTCATAGGAGAGGGACTCCGTGGTGTCATAGTCCTGCAGTGAGTCGTAGGAAAAGGAGTCTCGGAACATAATTTAAAATAGGAGTAGCCTTTGAGTAATAGAAAATAGAGCCGTAATATGGGATTTAGGAAGAGTCTAATAGTCCTATGATGAGTTGTAGGAGGAAGAGCGTGCTAGAGTGAGAGGAGAAAGTCCCAGAAAGAGAAATAAAGTGTCTTAAGACACTATGTCTCAGTAATACAAAGTAATTGCTCCCGAAAGGCTGAAGTATATTCAGTATTTTAGTATTACTCTTTTTCTCTTTTTTCTTTTTCTTTTATTTATTTCAATTATATATATATATATATTTTTTTTTTTTTCCAAATGGTTCAGCATCATGCCTATCACCCGTCATAAATAAACATTTTTGACACCATTTCTTATAAAATCTTCCTTTGAGAGTTTGTATAACGACTCCTCAAACGTGTTTCCAACAGGTTTAGGCACAAAAGAAACGGGACAGATGTTCTTGAAGTTGATGAAGAGATTAGGCTTCGAGAAGTTTTACCTACAAGGAGGAGATTGGGGATCAGCCATTGCCACAGAGATGGCTACGTATTATCCTGAAAAGTATGTATTATTTTTTTTTTTTTTTTTTTTTTTTTTTTTTACCTCCGTTTGTTAGTTCGTTGATTGTTGCTTGTTTCTTTTTATTTGCAGGATTATTCAAAACGTTATTAACAGATTTTAAGATTTTTACCAGAAACGTCATGACATTTTGGTGGTGATCTGGATCATGATTCGGATTTTTTATTCTAACTCAAAAAGTTATGGACAGATTTTAATTATTTCTTTACCTGAGGTGTGTCTTAGCCGAACTTATATTCCATTGAATTTTGGTGGTGATCCGGACCATTTGGCAAACCTACCCATCATGTTCAAAACATTTTGCTCAAAGATGAAACTATTACTCAAACAGGAAAAAATAAAATGTTCTACATGAACGGCATACCATTCTTTTGACATGTATACAAAAAAAAAATAATAATAATAATAATCGTTTTTATTTTTTTAACGCTTTCCAGATTTTCTTGATTGTTCCGAAAATATGAAGATTGGTCTCATTTTCTACGAAATTTACCAATTTTTATAAAATATGTTTTTTTTTATTATATCTGATCATCACAATTGCTGATTTCCTGAAGTAAGGTGAACAAATCATAATATTTCAGTGGACTTTGAAAAAGGCGGCTGCCATCTTTAAAAAAAAAAAAAAAAAAAAAAAAAAAAAAAACGGGTATCATAAATATCTTAAAATATCTTTAAAATTTCACCACTGACTTTGGAGTCAGTGGTGTTACCCTATAGTTCAATTTTTTCCCTCCTTCTCTCCCTCCCTATGTCAAACAGATAATTTACAAACAACTCCCCTTCCCTTGCAGTATAATAGGAGTCCACCTCAACATGTTCGGCTCCCTAACTACCGGTGCAACAGCGAAGTTACTCCTTGGGTCGATTCTGCCTGAAGGACTTATAATCGCTGCCAAGGACCAGAATAAATTATATCCTTTAGGAGAAACCTTTAAATGGATTCTTAGGGAAACTGGCTACGCTCACATCCAAGCCACCAAGCCAGATACTGTCGGTAAGTGGAAGAGAGGATGAGATGATAAAGGCGCTGTCACACTAGCACTTTTTTCGTCAATTTTTGGACAATTTTCTGAAATTTTCTCCATTTGTGAGCGAATTGTCGATTTTCCAATCAGACGACCTTAACGTCAACTTTTTCAGCCAAACGTAGTCAAATCAAGAGTTATATTCGAGAATGTTTGTATTTATGTTAAATAAAATTGTCAAGAAATTGACGGAAAAGGTGCTAGTGTGACATAGCCTTAAGTGTAGATTATATTGTATTCCTGGGTAGAGAATTCCACCAATTTTGAATGCATGATGGTTAGAACAGAAATTAAGGAAGAGTGTCGGTAAATATTTAAAAAAGAGGATAAGAATATAAATGTAAGATCAATAAGATAGTTCATTGTTGTCAAATCAGTAAAATGGGAAAATGAACAAGGTATCTTTGTAATCTCGACGATTTTTGAAAGTAAAAAGTTTATAAGTTTTGGCAGTTTTGGGTTAGTTTGACAGCTATTTAATGCTATCGCACTACTGCATACTTAGAACCAATTAATGAATACCCTGATTCCTTCGTTAATTTCTGTGTATAAACTTTATTCGGTGATCAAATGTGTCATTATAAGTCATTTCACTGATGAGTTTATCATATATATATGATTAAAAGACATCCATCCATTATTAACCTTATAAACTTCCCTCCCTCTCCCTCCCCCTCTACCCCTCCCTCTCTCTCCCCCTCTCCTCCCTCTCTTCCTCCCTCCCCCTCTCTCTCCCTCCCTCCTCCCTCTCTTCCCCTCCTCTCCTCCCCCTCTCCCCTCCCCCTCCCTACCCCTCCTCCCTTCCCTCCCTCACCCTCACCCTCCCCCCACTCTACCCCTCATTCTCTCCTTCTTTCCCCCTCCCTCTCCCTCTCCCTCCTTCTCTCCCTCTCCCTCCGTCCCTCCCTCCAACCCCCTCTACCCTCCCTCTCTCTCCTCATCTCCCTCTCTCCTCCCTCCCTCCCTCCCTCCCATCCTCCCTCCCTCTCTCTCCTTCCCTCTCCCGCTACCCCTCCCTCTCCTCCCCCCCCCTCCCTCCCTCTCTCTCCCTCTCCCCCCCTCTCCCTTCCTCCCTCCCTCCCTCTCCCCTCCCTCTCTCTCCCCCCCTCCCTCCTCCCTCCCTCTCTCCTCCCTCTCCCTCCCTTCCACAAATAATCCCTAAGATACACCACAGTCCGCTATGTATCCCCAGGCGCCGCCCTAAACCAGAGTCCCGTAGCCCTGGCCGCCTACATCCTGGAGAAGTTCAGTACGTGGACCCACAAGAAGAATGTGTTCCTGCCTGACGGAGGTCTTCTGCAGGAGGATTTCCCCATTAGTCTGGATGTGCTCCTCGATAATGTCTGTGTCTACTGGTACGTGGCGAGTTGTTGTTGTTGTTGTTATTGTTGCTGTTTTAGGGTAGTGTGGTCGTCTGTTTTATAGTGCGGTTATGTTATGTATGGTTGTGTATATACACGCGCTTGGACACACACACGCACGCACAGGCATACACGCATGCACACAAGCAAACACAACGCACGCACGCATAAGCGCACGCACGCACACACACACACACACACACACACACACACACACACACACACACACACACACACACACACACACACACACACACACACACACACACACACACACACGCACACACAAAAAAAATTGTTTGTGTTATTAATATTTTTTTCTGTCTCGCCCATTGTCATTTCTCATTCCAGGTTCACAGGCAGCATCACCTCAAGCATGCGCTATTATGCTGAAAACTTCAGCAGTCGTAACTCTGCTTTTGCCACAGAGAAGTGAGTGCCTGTGAAGTATAATCAGTTTTGGAGAGTAATATTTGAAGATAGTCATGTCAGAGCCCTTTTTGTTATTCTAAATTTTTGCTATTTTCTTTCTTTCTCTCTTTTTATCCATTTGTTCTTTTTTATATAAATCCCATATTAATTGATTCACTGAGGATTAGATTCCAGCTTATTTCTCTCCCACGCGACGAAAAGAAGGACATAGTATATCCATTATTTAAGATGAATAAGTGTCATTTAATTATATTATTTCCCCTATTCTTTCTGTTATGTATAGTTACTTATGTATTATTACTGTGATTTTTGTTCCTTTTTTTACAATTATTGAAGATAAAGTTGAGCATTAAATACAAAGTGAAAACACATCCCCGTAAATAATAATGATAATAATAATAATAATAATAATAATGATAATAATAATAATAATAATGATAATAAAAATAATAATAATGATGATGATGATAATGATAATGATAATAATAATAATAATAATAATAATAATAATAATAATAATAATGAAAATAATATACACCTTGACACTTTTACCCTCGTAAAAAAAAACACAACTGTTGGCAATAGCGTTTCCACTCAGAAAAAAAACCTTTATTGTTGGCAGTAACCCTTGCCGAGTGCCAGCCGGAC